TTTTTTTTAGTTTTTGCATGACGACTCAAAAAGTAACCAAATGCCAGTAGGGTATCAGGAAGAATATTGTTTAGTGTCAATGCATATGTATCCCAAGTGAACTATTCTATTGAAAATGATCTCAGAAAAAAAAAACTAGGTGTTTCCATGTATACGTATTATACGTACTAATTGAACTTACCGAGACGAATTCTTGGAAGCTTGAACTAAGTCCTTACGTTCAGGTTATGAGCCTCTGAATTTTTGCTATGAACTAAAAAATATTTCGCTAAGTGAGTTTCTGATGGTAATATAGGTGAATATCTCTTCAGAATCTCATTTGAATGCCCATTTGCTGAGTATCGTGCGCTATTTGCAGAAAAAAACATTGATCTCAGAATAGAACAGCTCATAATATAGTAATAATGTGACTTGAATTTGCAGTGTCCACGTGCATCATCTTTTTGTGCGAAACCGGCACGACGACTGCCATCCTTGCCTCAGGTGAAGACGTTGAGTGTGAGTCTGCGTGAGCGATTGCGTATTCTATCAGCAAACGCCACCGAACCACAGGACGACGACACTCATCATCATGCGCATCGTTCCTTCACCGATAATATTGTCTTAGAAGCTAACTCGAATCCTAGTAGAAGGAGTTTCGGTATCGTCATTTTCTTTCCGGTTCTCAATCATATAATCTTACTTATGAGGCTCAGTCGCCGCTTGTACAGCCGCCTTTTTTGAAATATTATATCAGTGAGAATAATATGGCAATGAAGTGATCGTTTCATGTTGAGTTATCGTCATTGTACTCATTCATAGGATGCAATGCCAAATNCTGGCAATATCATAGCAAAAATGGTGAGTTTTGAGTGAAACAACTCAGAAATAACTGACTATTCGATGGTAGACGTTCGTTTCAGTGAAGGACTGTGCAAGAGAATGCTCAATAGCGATAACGAGTGATAAACGCGATGAGGAATGCCGCATCTCTGAGGGTATACCGGTCTATGTTGTGGTCATTATTGCACTCATATCGTTTGGGTTCGGGGTCGCATTTGTTGCCACCTTATGGATGATACATATTAAAACCGGTCCGTTTCACCCCCTATGTTTGCTCGTCGTCTTTTCTGAAGTATCATACTTGAATTTTGTTGTGGCAACGCCAAAAAGTTGTTTCATAAAATAATGAATGCAGTTGATATCATTATTCAAATGTTCTTTAATTGTTGCTGTTCTGCATTGCATTCGAATTTTATTGTCTGCGAGTGTAATAACAGATAATTGGATAGTAGATACAAGCCCGATCATAGCCTGGCTCAGGCTCACAACATTAATGATATTGGTGGTATACCACTCGGTTTCGAGCCAGTCAGTCGTAAGGCCGTCAAACAAAACTTTCCTTCGCGAACAGCAAGCAAATTCGCGGAGGAAAATTTTGTTCGAAACTCAGTGGTGTACCACCAATATCATTAATGTTTGAGAGTGTTTTCGGGTTGAATGATGGGAACGTTTGCAGATCCGTTGCGTAAGATCCGTTGTGCGGATCACAATTCACGTTCCGCACAGTTGAACGTCAGCACACATCGTGAACCAATCGTAAGGCCGTCAAACGGAAACGCTTTCATGACAACAGCACTGGTGGAACATCAGTGCCTGGTGAATAGGGCATAACGGTGATGTTAATTTTTAAATAGCTATATACAGTTTTTTTTTGATTTGAGATGTATACATATAAATAAAATATCTATTATAAATGAGAGGAAGAATATTTTTATCGTTAATGCGCATATGATTGATATATGAATATTGCACAGTGTAATCCAGTGTTTGAGTTCATCCTGTTTTCATTCGTTGTTAATGTTGTTTATAAATCAGTTGTTGTTCGTTCGTTCATGTCTCATTTGCTCCATGTTTTGAGTCTTTTTTNTTTTTTCACAACGAAAAGTGCTGAGAAAGTTCTGAAAGAAGTCCTTCTCGCAATCCTACTTCTTCTCCTCATCCGTACACTATCACCTTCTCCATCAGTGGACTGGCAGGCACTAACTTGTAGTTTAAAGCTCATCATCTGTACATTTGATAGGCAAATTTGTCAAGAGACTCACTGAACTGACTTCATACTGCCTGTGAGGATTTGGAAGCGATTATTATTTGTCATTGCTTTCATGTGCTCTAACAGGTGCATCGTAG